AACTTCAGCTGCCATCCACTTGACAGGATAAGCAATGGTCTCATCTCCCCCTCCTCCTCTCTCTTCTATTGTATTATAATCTTCTGGATAAAAATCCCAACTTAACCCTCTGTCACCAATCTTTACATGTAGATTCTCATGAATACTATTAATTATAAGGAACTCCACCCACTTTGATTAATAATCTTACTATATATTCCTACATGCCAGGTCTTTATGTACTTGTCCTTTTCTAGTTAAATGGTACATTCCTCTGGCCACTTGTTCAGATATAAATACAAGATCATGTGTTGATATATATGTACACTGACCAGACTGGAGAGGGAGGGAGAGAGGGAAAGAAGGAAAAACATTGATATAATTATGATCATGAATGTGAGCATCATAACAAAAAATGAGAATGTTGTCAAAGCCAAATATATACTGCCCCATGGTTATACTGTCATATTCACATACATGCATTCACAAAAGGGAGAATGAGATTATTATCACAAGCATAGCTTTCTCAATCAGTGCCCTTGCATGTATAATACATAAAAAATAAAAAAAATATTAATAAAAGGTAATTAAACACCACATCAACTGACAGTTAATGTGAGAGGAACAGAGGCAACAGTGCTGGAGTGGTAGAAATGTTCTGTGCTATCATTATATTGATTCAAATTTCAGGAACCAATAATTCATTTATTAACAAACAATTTCAGCCTAAAATGCACAGTTTATGCAGTTATGTCAATTTATGAGTACTCATTAGTAGAAGTGCTGGTGTTAGAATGTATTAAGCAAAGTGTAAATACTAAGAATAAGACATGACATGTCTTATTCCTAGAATTGTTATTAGGAGGTGCTGGTGCTAGAATACCAAGAATAAGACATGATATTGCCATGAAACACACCATCACACCACTATCATGCCACCTAGAGTGCATGTTACTATAAAACAAGCTGTAAAGCTCAAAGAACTTCATTCTCAACTCCCTTCAGTCAGTCATGTCTACAGTTCTCCTCATAGGATCCACTGGAATGGGAAAGAGCACCTTTGGAAATTATCTTCTGGATCCTGACAAGAAACATATGTTTCAGAATCCAACCTTTCCTATGGCAAAAGACAGCAAATCAATGACACAAGAAGTGAAAGTTATAAGTAAGCAGGTCGAGATCGATGATGGTGGAAGCGAGACTCTTACCATAATCGATACCCCGGGGTTGAATGAGAGTGCTGAAAAAGATTTAGCTCACATGATCGATATCATAAAGAAGTTAAATGAATGTGAAGAAATCAAAGCTTGTATTCTCGTTGTTAAATTCAATGCTAAAATTGATGCACAGTACAAAGCAACAATAGAATACTACAGTAAGCTCTTGCCTGGTCTGTTTGAAAAAAATGTCATTATCGTAATGACCGACTTTGCAACAGATGAACGATCAGAAGAACTAAGAAAAGTGCAGGACATTGATGTTCACAAAGTAGAGTGTGACACGGTGGCAGAGATTAAGCAATACTCCAATGTATCGTATTCACCACAGCTGTTTATGATCGACTGTCTTCCCTTGACCAATGCTGAGATGGAGATAAGTCAAATTGTACGCAAAGCAATTCTCGATTTCATAAAAGTTTTACTACCAATAAACGTCAAAAACCAATTAGTCGCAAAAACACATTACATTAAACAGAAAGATGCTGAAAAGTATGAAAAGCTGCAGGGAGAAATAGAGGGATACAAAAAAGGATTAAAAGAACAGTATCAGGATAGTGACAAGGTTCTTGATGAGGCCCACAAAAAAGGAATGGAAATGACTCAAATAGAAAGTAAAATAAAAAAATTGGAGACAAATTTGCAAGACAAAGATACAACAGATGATGTTGTGGCAGCAAAATGGTCCATCAATGAAGAATGGAAATTCTTAAATCAACTTGAAAACGATTTTAACGTTGAATCAACATATGAAATTACACATCATGCCACATGGACAAATGGAAATAGCAAGTTTATTGAGGTTACTACGACACCCAAGTCAATCAAAGGAAAGGTTAAAGGGAATTTTATGCGTGGGATTTATGCGTCAGTTACTGCTTATACAGAAAAGAGAATAAAATACGCCGAGGAAATTACAGAATTAGAAGGAAAAATAGCGAAAGAAAAAGATTCCTTTGAAAAATGCAAAAAAGGTTGGGATGAATTTCGAAAATTGGAGAGAGAAAAATCAGCTGAAATAGAATTGCTTGAAAAATGCTTTGATGAAAGGAATATCGAGGCTGCAAAATGCTGTTCAGATTTCATGACATTGGATGAAGCTATGACAAGATTGGATGAGTTGCGAAAAAGTTCTTGACCTTTATTTTTTTTACAAAACTACTAAAATTTAATTTTTTATTTACATGTACAGTGTAGTATTAGTATTTGTAGTGTGTGATTTTAGAAAAAATGTTAAATTCATGCCATATTTTAATTTATCATGCTGCGTGGTTTCATGCATAAATTTGACTAATTGCAAATTTAAATTTCAATCTTTTTCTGTTCTGTTTTTAAAATAATGAGATCATGTAACTGAAAACAATTCATCAAATTACTTCATATTAGAAAATGAAGTTCATTACAAAAACCAAATTGCCTGCTATACTCTCTCTCTCTCTCACTTCCTTTATTAGTCCTCTTTGGTCTGTCTCTCTGTCTCTATAGTATTTACATAAACTCTCTCACTCAGTCTCTTGCCAAATAAGATGCATGATAAAAAACAGCTTTGACAGAATAAACATGCCCTAATTATTTATTATTATTATTATTTAATTACCTGAGACCATGCAAAATTTTTGAATACCTTAGGGTAGGTATTAATTGCGCTCTTAAATTTTAGCGTTTTTAAGGGGATCCTGATTTAGTGAAATGTAATATTAGCGAAAATAGGAAGAAAATCAATGATAAAACCCCCATTCAATAGCATAACACAACTCAAGAAGCCCAATCTATACATTTAAGAGCAGAACACTTAATAGGATCACCCTAACTGCTGTTATCTTGCTACAGATCTTGCCTATCTTGTGTACTTGTTTACACAAGTACATAATAACTATTATTAGCAGGTGGTTGAATTAGCGATTTGAAGTACACTCGCTAAAACGCTAAAATAA